CACCATCCCATGTGGGAGTTGAACCAGCAGCCTTGTTGTTAAGAGCACACGCTGTATCCATTGAGCCATCCTGGCAGCTCAGCTCAAGGTGCCAAGTTCAGTCTTAGTTGCAGGTGGCATAGCCACCATCGAACAGGCAGCCTTGTTGTTAGGAGCATGCACTCTCACCAGCTGAGCCATCCTGCCACCTGTTGGCAGCTCAGTGGCAGCTCAGCTCAGGCGCAGTATCACTGACCCACGTGGGAATCGAACCAGCGGCCCTGTTGTTCAGAGCTCGCGCTCTTAAACTAACTCTTAACCAACTGAGTCACTTGGCCGGCCCCTCTCCTACTTATACTTGGCGGCACCCTCTGCACCCTCTCTGCACTGGCCATCCGTACTTCCTGGCTGACATTGGTTACACCACAGTATGCTAGTGCCTCGTGGTCTTTATGTCCATTGTTCTTTATGTCTGGAAGGCTGCTCACTGGACATTCACACACCCCGATTCCTTATCCCCATTAACTCCTTGTTCAAATATCACCTTCCCAATAAGACTGACCCTGTCACCCTCTTAAAATTGATGCATAATATTGAGCTCTTCCTATGCTATTTTCCTGCTTGATCTTCTCCAGAGCAATTACCACCTTCTAATAGATTATATAATTGACTTTCTATTTTAGTTTCTATGTGTCCCCTCTACTCTGTATGTGCCCCGAGAGCAGGACTTTTTTTTTTTTTTAAGACTTTTTATTGGTGAACTGGGGGGATGGAAACAGTGCTGGGGGAAGGGGAACAGACAAGTTGCTGTTGTTTTGTTCTTCAGTCTAGATGTGATGGACGTTGCTTCACTGGCCCAAGTTGGCACCATAATTGCGCTCTTCCCGGGTGAGGCAGATCAGTCGCTGGCTTCTGGATGGCCGCTCACTGCAGCTACTGGCTGCTCACGCTGTCTGCTGGCTACATACAGTAGCCCATGGCAACCCACTGCTACAGGGGCTGCAGCCTACGCCGTCGCCATCGCCGGCGCCGGTGACTCATGGCAGCCCAGCTCCAGGTTGAGCTGTTGTTCAGCATCTTAGCTGTGGAGGGCAGTGTCACTGGCCCTCATATGTGGGATCCGAACCGGGGCCCTCTGGCATCTCAAGCCAGTTCTTAACCATCGCGCCACTTCGCCAGCCCCAGGACTTTTTTTTTAACTACTGTATTTTAGTGCTAAGAAAAATGACCAGCAAATTACAGATGATCGATAAGTACAAGTATCTATGAAATGAAGGATGTTTGTGGATTGTTACATGCAAAAGAAGCTAGAAATCTGTATTTAAGGAAGAAAGGGGAGTTAATAAATAAAGCAGGAAGGCACCAGGACTAAATCCAGTGGGGATGGGGTGGTTGGAGCCAGCGTGCACCAGCTCACAGAGCCAGCTGTGAGCAGCTCTTCCCAGCTCTGCGTTCAGTGACATGATGGGGCAGCTTGACATCAGCCATGGGGAGGGTTTGCACTACAGAAATCAGCAAATGCTACAGATGAGGGCTATTTTTTCTGGAGAGCTGGTTATTAAACATTTACCAGTACACAGCTGTGGAAGGGAAACAGCTAAAATTGGAATCAGATGATTTAAGTTTGAATCCCTGCTCTACTTACCAGTTCTCATTTCATATTTCCAAATCTCCACGTCCTTAACTTTTTAGTGAGAGGGAGGAAACCCATCACAAGGGGCAGCTTAGAATGCAACAGGGGGCAGCGACGGAGGCTCCTGAGCCTCTCAGTCTGCCTACCCCACCACGTCCTCCGTCAGGTGCAGGGGAAAGCATTGGCTCACTGCTCCTGGACAGGCTGAGCTACAGAATGACGATATTCATTGGTAACACGTTGCTCAGACAACTTCCAATATTTTGTTTATGACTTTGACTTTCAACCTATAATTTTGCAGCTTATGCTTTTCTTATTTAGTTTTGGTGTCAAGGTTATACAAGTCTCATGAAAGCAGTTGAGAGGCATTCTCTAATTTTTTGTTTTTTGGAAAAAGTTTTGTCAGATTGGAATTTTTTCTCCTTTAATATTTGATAGAATTTGCTTGCTTCTAGGGCTGGCGTTTTTTTTTTTTTTTTAAAGATTTTTATTGGGTAATTGGGGGGATAAGAACAGCGCTGGGGAATTGGGGGAAGGGGAACAGACAAGTTGCTGTCGTTTTGTTCTTCAATCTAGTTGTGGAGGATGTTGCTTCACAGGCCCAAGTTGGCACCATCATTGTGCTCCTCCTGGGCAAGGCAGATCAGTCGCCGGCTTCTGGACGGCCGCTCACGCTGGCTGCTGGCTGCTCATGCTGGCTGCTGGCTACACACTGTAGCCCATGGCAACCCACTGCAGCAGGGGCTGCAGCCTACTTGTCACCGGTGACTCACGGCAGCCCAGCTCCAAGTTGAGCTGTTGTTTAGCGTCTTAGCTGTAGAGGGCAGCGTCACCGAACCGGGACCCTCTGGCGTCCCAAGCCAGCTCTTAACCATTGCGCCACTCGGCCGGCCCTAGGGCTGGTGGTATGTTGATAAGCATATTTCTTACTATTGACTTAGTTTCTTTAAAGGTTTGGAGCCAGCCAAGTGGCTCAGTTGGTTAAGAGCTTGCTCAAGAGTGCGAGCTCTGAGCGACTAGCGGTTCAATTACCGGCCTGAGCTGAGCTGCCACTGAGCTGCCAACAGGTGGCAGGATGGCTCAGCTAAAAAATAAAATAAAATAAAAATAACGGTTTTAAAGCTACTCAGGTTTCCTTTTTTTTTAAATTCAGGTCTTATGTTATATTTTCCCCCAAATTTGTAAATTTTTATCAAGTATTCCAATGTATAATAATATCCATTCATGATATTTTCTATTTTTTAAACTGTACTGTATGGTACCTATGTACCACCTTTTATTTGAACTGCTTATTTGTAACTTTTCTGTCTTTTACTGTGACTCTTACCAGAAATTTGACTATATGGTTAGTGTTTTCAGAGAACTCATGTTGGCTTTATTGATTGTCTCTACTAAATTTTTCTTTACTATTACAACAATTTCTCCCATCTTTATTATTTTCTTCCTTCTGAGTTTCTTGGATTCATTCTATTCTTTTTGTTTGTTTGTTTAACATCAAGTTATGGACTATTAGCTTCTTACTTCCGTCTTTCTTTTTCTTACCTAACATCAGCATTTAAGAATATACATTACACTTCACAGCTTAGCCTTATCCCACAAGTTTTGCTGTGTTGTATATTAATTATTACAGAGTTTTACATGTTTTAACATTTCCATTATAATTTTTTTCTGAGTCATGAGTCATGCAAATTGTGCTTTAAAAAATTTTAAATATGGAGGTAGAGTTAATTTTATGTTTAATGATATTTGCTGATTCAATTTCATCATTGTCTAAGAATGTAAGAAGTTTATATTTTGAAATTCATTAGCCTTTGATTTATGGCAGAACACGTGGTCAGTTTTTATAAAAGCTCCCACGTGTGCTGGAGAAGCATGTGCGTTCTTTGTTATGAACTATCCTTTAGTCCAAGTCTTTCTTTTTTATGGCTGTTGCCTTATGTTGTTCAATTCTACTATATCTATATTCAGTTTTGTCTGTTTTATTTATTAATTACTGAGAAGTATGCTAAATTCTCCCATAATGCTGGTGTTATATTTCCCTTGTGAGTTTCCCACTTTTTGTATATATATCAAACTCCTGTCATTTAAGTACATACAGTAGTGTATTACATATATATATATATATAATATATGATATATATATGTATATATGTATATATATTCATATCTTTGTGGTAAAGCTTTATTACTAATAATACTTTGTAGTATAAAATCTATTTGGTCTGTTACTAGCATAGCCATACTGTTAGTTTTGTCTCATGTATCTTTTCCCTGTTTTGACCTCAACCATTCTGTATCTTAAAGTGTCAGATTTGTTTATTACAAAACATACACCTGGAGTTTGTTTTTCTCATTTCCTGCCTTTTAAATGGGAGTGATTTTTTAGAATTCATTTTTTTCTTTATATTACAGGTTATACATTTTATTCATATCATTTTAGTGATTACACTTAAAATAGCAACATGAATAATTGATTTAGCACAGTCTAAAGTTATTATCTTTATTCTCTTGTTACATAATATAAGGACTTTATTACAGTTTAAAACCAATTCTGTCTTAAATGTTACTTCTATACAATGAATTATTTCAATCTTTTTAAAGTGCTAAAATCACACATTATTATTGTTTGAAACAGTTTATTTAGATCTAACCATGAGTTTATCATTTCCTTTGCACACCCCTCGGTGGATCTTTACTCTCTTTTTGAGATCATTTTATTTGTTTATGATACAGTTCTTTTACTGTACTGTTGTCTTATTGTATATTCTCTTTATTTTTGTCTTCATGCTGGACTGATAATCTAGCCATGGATGGAATTCTTAGTTAATGGTTATTTTCTCACAGCATCTTGAAGATATTAACCCACTGTGTTTGACCTTCCATTATTACTTTTGAGAAATCAACTGCCTGTTTAATTACTGTTCCTTTATGATTAATCTCTCTTTTCTCTCTGAGTGTTTTTAGTAGTCTTCTCATGGTCAATATACAGAGGGTGCCAAAAAAAGTATACACATTTTAAGAAAGGAAAACTGTATTAAAATTGTAATACTCAATATATACCAATAACAAAAGAGGAATACAAGTCGTGTTTGACTTCTGCAATTACAAGAGGTGCTCAAAGTGGTTACCATCAGTGTCCAGACACTTCTGATTACTGCGAACTACTGCTTGAGCAACGTTGATCAAAATGTCCACTTGTATACATTTTTTTGGTACCCCATATCTAATCACTCACTGCCATAAATACCTGCCTTATAACCTACCTGAATTCCTTTATGTGTTAACAAGATGATTTTCCTAAATCTTATTCTTTCCTTAATCTTATGGAAATTATATTACATACAGTTATTCACCATTCCTTTATTATTTCATTTAATTAGAATTTATTCAATATCTTCTACATGACTGGATTGTTCTATGTACCATGAACGGAGGAGCAAGCAAAGCAGAGTGGGTCCATGCTCCAATAGAGTTTATCTTTTACTCCAGACAAGTAAGTCCTGCTTCATTCTTCCCAAGGCTATAAAAATATCGAGATAATTTGCAATTTTACTTATGCAGTTAATTTTCTACCTCTTAATAATTCTCATTTTTCTCTTAAGACTCCTTAATGATGACTTTGCTACCTTGGGTCTGTCAGAGTATGTTAGTGATGAGTTTGTGCAAGACTCTGATCAGGGTTTCAGCTGTCTCACACATAAAAGTTCTCTTTAATTTCAGAACTACAGGGGAGCATTCAGAGTGGGGTTCAGGATACCAGGTGCTCATTCAAGCATCAACAGCAGAGTGGCCTTGAACAAATTCCTAAACCATTCTGGGCTCTAAGTGCCTAAATCCTAAAATGAAGTGGTTTCAATGATTTGTTAGGGTCTTCTAGTGCTACTATTTTATTTTTTAAATTGGGATAAAGTGGACACCTTGATGATGAGCCCTGAAATTCATTCCCTTCTGTTCAACCGCAGAGATGAAGAGCATTTCTTGCATAAGAGCATTCGTATCAGGAATGACTTCATCTGCAAGGACAGAAAACCCGACTGGTGGCTTAAACATGGGGAGGCTGACCATCTCACATGATAATAAATAGGTAAGTTCAGGGCTGGTCTAGCCGTTTGCATATGTCACCGAGGGCCTGAGTGCCTACATTTTTGCTTTACCATCATTTCCAGAAGCACTTGTTCTCAGTGTTGCAGATGGCAGCCATGCCTTGGCACATTGCACCCCCATTTCAAACAGCAGAAGGGGAAATCAGGAAAAGCTGAAGAGGCAAAACGAGCCGTAGCTACCACGTCTGGTTTTTTAAAAAAAGCTGTCATGGAAATTTCCTCCACTGACCTCGACGAACATGTAATTGTCCAGAAACATGTCACATGGTTATTTCTGCCTATAAGGAGGCATGAAAATTGAGTATTTTTAGCCTTTCCAGTAGAGGAAGCTAGCATACATTTAAATTCTAAATAGTCATTACCTATTTTGCTTCTGTGAAAAAATAAAAATAAACACTTAAATATAAGAAACCATGGGCTAAGGAAAAACATCCAATCACTATAAAAGCAAACAAGATAAAATCAATGACAATGTAAAGATTAACTGAAAGAATGAGCTTTTGAATGAAATCTGTGTTTTCTTTGATCTACATTTTAATCACGCCAGATGTCCTCTTAAGACAAAAGAAGGTGCCTTCTATTACCTCTGTTCTAATACACATATATGATCTTACGATAGAGAGAGACAGAGAGAGAGAGAGAAAGTGTGTGCTTCAATAGGGAGTTAATGTGGTTACTTTCTGTTCTCAAGCTACAATGCATTAATTTGATGATGATCACATAGCTCTAAATGATATAATACAGTGGAATGCATGTTGTCAATCAATTGAGCTTACCTTGCGGACTTCCCTTTGCGTAGGTGAAAGTGGATATAAATGAATTCTCTGCCAGCATTACACACACACACACACACACACACACACACACACACACACACACACACACACACACNACACACACACACACACACACACACACACACACACACACACACACACACACACACCCTCTCTAGTGCATACGGCTCTTAGTACTAAAGTTATAGAACTAGTCTGACTGCTCAATGCCTCAAGAGTGTGATGTAATGGACAGGGTATAGATTCAAGTGCTTGCCCCTATGAACCCAACTTTATTATCTGTAAAAACAAGGAAGGGAACATCATTGCTTATACCACGTGATTGTCGTAAGAATCAATGAATAGAATTCACCATCACTCTTAGAATTAACATTCATCATTCTACCAATTTCACGGAGAAATGGGCAAAGAGATAATTTCTTTATAATATGATAATTATTAAAATGGAAATATATATGCACAGATGAAAGAGCATCTAAATCTCTGTAGGGAAACAGGAAGGGCTGCTCAGAGAATGCAATCCTTGAACTGAGACTTTTAAGAACGAATAATGTCTTGTAGGATGATAAAATGTGGGAAGGAATTTGGGGACGAAGGGGTGGAGCCAGGAATGTTAGTGGTTCAGAATTACCAAATGCAATATATTAAGAGAGGTATGATGGCTAGAAGAAGGTGGACAAGTAAATCGAGGCCAGATCATAGAGGACCTTATATGCTTGATCAAGCAGGCACATTTTATTGTGTGGGACATCAGAAGAGTCGACAAACTGTGAGATAGGTAAAGAACAGAAGAGTGAGAAGGAAAGAGAAAGTGAGTGCTCCCATAACATTGTGCAGAATGGATTGGAAGAGGCTGGAAAGCCAAGAACAGACCATTCCAATTGTCCTACGTGGAATGATGGAACCTACACCATGGATATATCTGAGAGTGAGTGAGTGAGTTTGAGATATATTTATGAGGTAAATTAACTGGATATTTTGATCAATTAGATGGGGTTAGGGACAGAAACTGATTGACACACAAATTTTTGGCTTAAGATGATTGGGTAGATATTAGTACTATGCTCTAAGATGAGGGATTCAGGGGACAGAGTCAGAGTGGGGTAAACGATCACAAGTAAAGTTTGAAATATAGACCAGGTTAGAGAGGGGACTGTGGATGATCTAAGTAGAGATGCTCAGACAGCAATTAGATATCCTCTCATTCACTCAATTATTTAACATCCATTAAACACTTATGGGCCAGACAGATGATAACACATTGCTCCCTCAAGGATTTTTCTGCCCCATCAGAAAATACTCATATACCCATGTAAGCTGAATAAAACCATCATAAATATTAAGATAAAGTTAAAACAGAACATGGGGGATAATAAATGAATTCAATTGTTGGAATAAAAACCTGGAAGGGAGACACATTGCTGGAGAATATCAACATAAAGTTGACTGGTGAACCCATGGGCATCACTGGAATTGCACATGGAAACACTTAAGATGCGAAGAGACCTGCTGTCTAAACCTGGGAATCACCAAGAAGTTTGAGAAACAGGAGACAGGTCAGAGGAGCACTAAAGAGCATGGGGTTGGTTCCAACTCTGCTTTTGTTAGATGAAGGAACTTGTGGAGTTTATTCAACCTGTTCAAAGATATTTTATCATTGAAAAATGGGTGTGATCTTGTTAGGTCTGACTCAAAGGGGTATTGACAGAATTGGGAATATAATGTTTGAAAGCTACAAAGCACTTAGCATTTTATGTTTAAAAACATGAAAAATGTTTTAAATCTTTGATGAAATTGGGAAAAATGACTGTTGAAAGATGAGAATGAAAAGAAGGAGACAGTCCATCTATGGAATCTAGGAAATAATAGAATTTCAAGGTAGGAGTCAATACGCATCCAAGGCAAATAGTGCACCAAGGTTACCATAGTGAGGAATGACAACTGTGTCTTGGGTGGGAGAAGAGGCCATTGTTGACTTTAGTGGAAGTAGTTTCCAAGGTCTGCTGGGACTAGACTGCAGTAATTTGGAAAGTGAATGGTGGGTGAAGAATTGCAAAGAGCAAGGCATACTTTTTCAGATTTTTTTTTTCTGGAAAGAGAAGGGGAATAGCTTGAGGGAGACAAAGTGTAAAGAAAGTGCTTTATTTTCCTTCAAGATGGTAAAAACTGTGTACAGAAGAGAATCAATAAAGAGGAAAATGGTGAAGAAACAAGAAAGAAGAAGTACTTGATGGATTGGAGTTCAGAAGACTGCTGGGGACATGAGGACAAGGACATCGAAGAGATGAGCTTGGAAGGGCATCTAAGTCAGCAGGGATGGAGCAATTCTCTTCATTAGGTAATCGCTATTTGCTGAGTTTAGTTTTCACTGAGATGAGAGGTTGCTGCCTCCAGGGGTCAAACATGTAGTTTACCAGGTATGAAGCTGGCCTTCCTTAAGCAGATGTTACAGAGTGGTGGGATTTAGATGGACCTGGAGCTGTCATGCTCCTGAGCCTCTGCAGGTTGTACCTTGTAGGAAGTTTGAGACCAGAGTTGTAAGATAGTTCATATGAGGGGGAAAGAAAAGCCAAACCCAAGAAAAGTCCATCATGCCAGATTTAGCCATGGACCACTAGATTGCAACCTCTACCATGAGAGGAGAGAGTGGAGCACTGGAAATGGCAGAGAATCTGAAGCAGGAAACAGACATGGTATGAGTTCTTGTCAAGAGAGCATCAGTCACCAAACCAGGAAGGCAAACACATAGATAGGAACACATGGTCAGGGATCATTAGATTATGAATTATCTGACTTAGCTGTCATTCTAAAGGTGGATTTTTATGGTTGCTATAAATAAAGACATCAGTAGAGGTCAGAAGAAAGCCAGTAGCATCCTTCATCTTTTTAAGGCGCTTGCCGTTTAAGTCTCCACCTTGCCCAGGCATACCTGCACATGCTCACACACTGCCCACTCCACACACACCCAGACAATCTTCCTCCAGCACCACTGCAGCTCTTCTTTGTTTCTCTTCCATTCCTTGGTACCAAAGCCTAAAGCTTAGGATGGACAGAGGGGAGTGGTTTAAACTGGAAAGAAAAGAGATTGTTCAATCCAATTTCATCTCCTTTCCCCACTATACGCCACCCTTAGACCTGATGAAAAGGATGGCAGTTTCCTGTATTACAAAAGTAAGTTACATTCCATTAATGTTGTAATCTCTCTGGCCCTGTCTCTAACCTGGCAAGCATGGAAAACATGGAAAGTTTACATATTGAAAAAAGACTTTCAGATTAGCTCATGTTTTGTTTGGAAAATGTATGACTCTGCCTGGAAATAGTATAGTAATGCAGTTCCTTTATGGTGTGGGGAAATATTGTGACATTTCCTAAACATAATAGCTTCATGGTTTCTTGGGATGGAAAGTATCTAGAGGAAACCTGTAAAAAGTTGTTTTGTAAACTCAACAGAAACTTGAGATAAAAATGTCATTTTTGGCTCTAACTACACTAATGGCTTAGAGAGTACCATATGTGTATTTAAAAAGATGTAAGCATAAAATATTTAATCATCTGCATACTGAATTATATCCACAACTTTTTGGTAGGAAGTGTTCAGTTTTAACATATTTCTGGTGTTCTCTTGTTTAGGTAATTATAATTGTCTCTCTATTGTGGTAAACGTCACATGAGCCTGATACACATCTCCAGGAGAAAAGATATACATAATGCCTGGATGGTACAACCAGGGACCTCCAAAACTTTGGTGCAAGTGTTTGGTGGTCTACTCACTGCTATGACTTTGGTGACTGACTGGCCGCGTGCCTGGCTCTTACAGAGGACACCTTAATTATTTGTGAAATGAGTAAATGGGACGTGTGTCTGAGAGATATACATTAGTTTGTATATAACCATTGTATTGCTTTTTAAAGTTTGGTTATGTCTCAATTATATTAAGTGTCATAATTAGGCACTTAACCTTTAGATGGCACTGGTATCTCATTGTACTAACTCAATAATTTTTTGCTGTGTTGCCATAACTCTTCCACTTTGAACTAATTGGTTCTGAGCTTTTTCTTAGTTGCTGAATTCCTTCAGTACTGTGTAGACATAGCAAGGATGAATTTTCTAGGAAATCCAACTGGGAAGTTTAGTCCATGCTGCAACTTTCCCAAACTCTGTTCTGAAGAATACGAATGTGACCCAAGATGTTAATAGAAGTCTGCCACAAAATGGTGGCCAAGTAAGTCTACAAAATACAGCATTTGAAGACCATATATCTGGGATAGTCTCAATGCATATTAGTTTGTTAAGGGCTCTGAAAATTTCTTCAATAAAAGAAGATGTTCAATTTAATTTACTCATGTACTCCCAATATTTTTGACCATAGGTTCTATTTCTAATGGTATTAGGAGTTCCATAGATAGCTTAGAAAATGCTGCCCTGTCCTATATTTATATTGTGTGAATACTTAGTATATTCTAAATCAAATTGAGCAATCATGAAAAAGTAATTTGGGTATCATTTCCTTTCTGTTGCTTGTAAGAATTCTCTTTATTTCTTTAACATATACAATAAGGTCTGAAGCATGTGAAAATATATGAGTGGTTAAATGACCTAATGGAGTTCTTTGGTTTCTAATAGATATTTTTCTAAGCCAAAAAAGATGCTCTTTGGAAAGTGGGGAATAGATGCAGCCACCCAATATAGTGACCATTTTTATTTTATCTGTGATAAATCCAAAATTCCCAATGGTGCAGCATTGTTGTCATATAGAACTAATTCCACTTTGGACATGAAATGTGTAACACTCTGGAATTGGAAGAAATTTGTCTTTTGATATGGTTACATGCCACAGAATATGAAACGTTTTTGAGATGAGAGAAAATTTGATATTGTCTGTGTCAACGTGGTGTGGACTGCACATTATAAGAAACTGAAATTCTGTTTCTATTAGGTTCACATTCATTGTTGCACTCTTGGGGAAAGAAATATGTACAATAAACATGTGAACAGAGCTGTTGAGAACTGACAGGCCTTATTTGATTTATTTCAAAATCTAAACACATGCTATATTCCTAAAGAGTCGGAAACATCCAAATTTTAAAAGTTGAGCAGCTAGACTATGAAACACAATAACACGGATGATTGGGAATTCAGTGTCACGTGTTTTATCTGCACTTCTCCTTTCGATATGATCTGCAAGGTTAGTACAATGATTTTAGGTCTCAGTTCTTTTATGGAAACAGGGTTAACACAGGGCAGGACATGGGTGATGAAGCCTCGTGTGTCTTCTTCAAGAAGGATTAAGAAAAAACACAAAACGATGGCACTGTATAAGGAACCTATCTGTGCAGCTTCATTTCCTGAGTTTTAATAAAAGCTGAATTCATAAGATCATGGATTCTAACATCTACAGAGTGATGAGTGCCTAGAGACTAAGGACAAGCATCTAGAGGACCTAGGGACAAGGAAAATCAGGCATTGTCACACTGAAATCTTTTCTGGTTCAGTCCTGAGAAAAGCAATTAAAGATATAGAATGGCATATGACATAAGTACCTGAGTCTCCCCACTGTCACTGTGTTACAAAAAAGCATAGATGACATTATAAGAGAGGGAGTTTCTTATAACACATAATGCATTTGGATGCTGTTGAACGAAAGTCCTTATGTTCCCTAAACAATTAAGGTTCCAAGATGATCATTGAAATTACATGGCAAAGCTTGCCCTGGTCAGCTAAGCAGAAATATTAAGTTATATCTGTATCTATGTCTCTGTCTCTGTCTCTGTCTCTGTCTCTATCTCTATCTCATTAGTACATATACATATATGTACATATACATGTAATTACATATATACATACATATGTATATACATATATGTGTATTATATACATGCTTATATATACGTATATATACGTATCTATATATGCATATATATTTTTTTTTTTCAGAAAATCTTTATTGGATCATGAAATTGAAATGACAGGTCTGGAGAGCTGAACCTCCCTGGCTCCATCTCTACTCGTCAACACACCCTCCTCCCCGCAAACCTCCTCCCTGTCCTTGAAGTAGGAGCTTTGAGAGTAACTCTTCAACAGAGAAACCCCTCTAAGGTTAGTACCTTCCTATTGACAGGGTTACAAAGCTCCTCTTCTTAGATTATGTCTCCAAACTAGAATACGGTGCTTCTGGAATGATGTGGTTGCAGAGAAAGCCCAGTTGCATAGAAAGGTCTCTTTCAGTGTGGTCAGAAATCATGCTCTGTGCTTCCCATACCATTTCCTTTCCACTGGAATACAAGAAGACTGCTTTCCTGAAACTCTCGTGCTGTGGGCTGGGGCTCTGAAACTGGCCAATGTAACGTGCATGGAAGTGACATGTGCTATTTCAAGGTCTGGTGTTTGAAAACACTCTACCAGACCAGTTTAGATCCCTGAACCCTTATCCAGAGCTGTTCAAACTCCATCACATTTTGTGTGAGTGACAAATAGACTTTTTTGGACTATGTCGCTGATTTGGGGGTTTATTTGTTGCAACAAGTAGTGTTAATTATCCTGACTAATAAACTCAGAAAATAATCAAATAGGGTGGCAGTCAAGCACTTCCATCAAATTTGGTCCTATTAAATATTTTCATGTTGGTGGATCTCATTAATAATGGCCCAAAAGTGTTCATAGACCCCCTCAAACACTTACCAATAGTCTAGGAATGTGGAATCACCCAGAAACAAGGGTTAATAGCCGAATAAATGTGTAAAAAGGCTGTGGGTTGTTATTTTGTTTACTTTGATGGAAACCTTATTCACAGCCAGATTTCTATTTCAGCATAAAATAAATTCTTTTCAGTCTTTGGCCTCAGGGATTTTTGTAAATGTATAGTATAGGTTGATTTCTGGAAATTGTGTCCCCAGAGAAATGAAACTCTTGTACAATTCAGGCAAAAATACTTCTTAATTTTAAGTATATTTAGTATTCACTAATACATTCTCAGATCTGTCTCATGTTTCCATTTCAGTGAGCCTCGTGTGGAGTTAATCTCTACATCACATTTCTCTTGAGAGATAGAAAAATGTAATTTGGAATCACATACAAGTTATTGAAAATATGGATAATAATGCATAGTAATTAGATGCTCTTGGGCAAAATGGCACTTTTGAATTTAGGAACAGATTGATATGTCTGTCCAGCTAATGAGGTGATAGAGGGAGTGGGCCGAGGGAATGAAGCAATGGTCTTGGGGCTGGAAAGTCTGCTGCCAAGTTCTTTTCTGATAATCACTGGTCATGGCCTTAACATTGATCAGGAATCATTTGGTCTTTGAGAGCTTCAGTGTTTTAATTTGTAAGATGGAGATAATAATATTCGTCCCAGCCTATTTCACATGGTTATTTTAAGTTATAAATGAGATAATATGCATATGCATGAAAGTACTTTATTAGGTTATACCAAAGTATTATTATATTTAACCAAGGACTCTTGGTTAGGGAGCCATGAACCAAAGTCACAAAAGCGCATGCTATTCACTTAGTAGGTGCAGCGACCCTACAGAGGAGCTGTGGGAAGGGGGTGTACCAGGAGATTTCACCCCAATTGCTCATTCCTTAGCATTAAGAGGTTGGGGATGCCCCTTCCTTACAGCTTTGGTGGTTGACTCCTGTGGGTGCTCTAACCTCACACATAAAATGATATTTTTGCCCCTGCTTTAATTAGCCCTTTAAGATAAAGAAAACAGACAGGATTTGCTGGAGGAGCATACAAAATAGAGAGAGAAAGCATCCCAGATACAGACAGAAATCATGTGATGTGGATCATAATATTTCTCCTGAGCTGGATTTAATTAGAAATTGCTGGAACTATTTGGCATGCAAACAGCTGCTGTCAGATCTGCACAGCATTTCCCAGCCTTGGAACAGCTGTATGTAGTTTTTCTTTCTCTTTCCAACTAGACCTATGTAGAAAACCTGTTATGTTCTGGCAGGGTTTGGAGTTACTCTCATGAGCTAATCAGATCGGCTTAGACAGCACATAAAAAAGATTTGAGTGCTTTATATCTAAACAATTCTTTATCTTTTTGTTTTTGTTGTTGAAGCTTTCTCCAGAATGTTTTCAGGGCGAGCTCGTGAAATTTTCTGCAGGGACAATATTTCTAAGCACCCTGGAAACTCTGGAAGCATTACAGTGGCTTATGTTACACGTTGAGCAGGTACATACAGCTTCAGCGCCCTTAAACTCATGTGAGCTGGGTGTGTTTTGGAGCTCAGGCATTTAGAATGTGCTACTAATTATAATGAGGTGGCGGGGCAAGGGGCCTTTGAAATTTGGACTGGAAAATTAGATGCCTAGAGAGACAGTGCTTCGTGCCTGGAGCCAGCCACCATGCAAATGGGTCCTGGTAGCTGCAAGGAGAGGGGAGTGTGTCTGTGTGGCACAGCCCCTCTGCCAGGGGAAAAATTAATTTCAAACACACGCTTCACTGGTGATCAATAGTACTATATAGTCTTAGACAAGGGAGTGCAGAGGAAGGGAGGGAAGGAGGGAGGGAGGGAGATGGCTGTTCTAAAAAGTCATGGAGGTTAAGATCTGCTGTGGGAGTCATTCTGACCCTGGCAATGTAAATCCCCTTCACCAAATCAACTCTATAGCTGGGCAAAATGGTCAAAACCAGCCACTTTTTCAGCACACTAGAATCCCATCAAAAACATGCAGCACACTGAACAGAGTTTATCCACGAGGACTACAGAAGCATGGTAAGAACCGCCTGAGTCTGTGGCCCCCTTCCCAGGGCTGTGGCTAACCCCCAGTTCTGTCCGTGGGGTAGTTCACCCACAGCAGGCAGGGCAGTATAAAGCCCACCAGCTTAACTGCCCCAAGGGTTCGCTGGATTTAGAGCATTGCCAGTTAAAGCTCAGTGACCAGCCAACAGGGAGGGCCCGAAGCTGTGTTCACCTGAGAGCCCACTCGGGGCAAGCAATATTCAGGCAGACCAACTAGAGGTGTCTCCAGGTGGTCTCCAGCATGTGAGACAGCCTTGAGAGCTGACTAATCACTTCTGTCCGCTCCAGGCGGACTGGAGGCTGTGCACACACACAGTGGAGATGCGCGCAGTCCACGACCACACCACACATCCCAGCAGACGGAGGCTGAGCGACGTGCTGAGGACGTGGACGGAGACCGTCACTGGCCGCCTCGTTGGAGGTTCTTGTACGCACCGCTGTTTACGTGAGACTAAGTCCAGCGGGCAGAGAGGTGCCGCTGGGATCCTGGAAGAGTCGCTCTCATAGTCATGTGGAACTGGGGAAAGGGTATGAGCCTGACGCTGTAGTCTTTAAAAATTGTGGTCCCTTGTCCTCCAATGACAGAACTGCATCTGAATAATTTCAGGGAGTTATGAGAAATACAGATTCCTGGGTTCCAGCACACGCTTACTGAGTCAAAAGCCTCCATCGTAGGGCCCAAGGAAAGCACTTTTGCAGCTTCAGCAGGTGATGGTGATACAGCCTGAGCTCCAAGAACTGAGAGGCAGGCGTCAGGTGCAGTTAAGAAGAGGAAAAGAATTGGAGTTTTTTTTTTTGAATAGAGGGAATATATACTGGTAGTTCAGTTGCTCCAATTGTAAGATATAAAATATACATTTTTGGCAACTGAAGCTTTCCTTTTAAAGGATAGAATATTGCAGCTTGTTTAGATGCAATTATGAAATATATACATATATTTTAGAATATGTATGTATATATATATACATACATCATATACTTATATATGTATGTGTATGACATATATAATCACATCACTTCCATTTGACAGGCTTTGGTCACTAGTTAAAAAAATAAGTAATCACAAATACTAATCACTAACTGTGTGATCATATAATTTACCATACAAACAGATATTTTGTGAGTTAAAGGGGGGTACTAAAGTAATTTAAATCATATAAGTATTTGAAATATTTATTTATTGAGCTACGAGTTAATTGTATTATATTTGTGGATCAATATACATTCCTATTCACAAAACTATTTTTTAAAATAAAATTATTTTTAAAAAAGTAACATATAACCAGGTGCATTATGTTAAAAGAAAACTTTACGTTGATCATATAAGATTTAAAATAATATGAGTAAAACAGTCATTCCTGGAACATATTCCAATCCTCATTCAGTTTTTTAGACATTCTCCCTCTAATACTATATTATTGGTATTTTTCTAAAGAATTTTTAATTTCGACATAGTCTTATTTTTTCATACAATTACATACCATCTTTAAGTTTGTATTTTATGACAAATATATAAATGGTGATGCATTCAATTCACACTTTTCTGTAGACCATAATATTATTAGTTTAAGAATTCTCTCTCTTCAAGTGTTAAGTTATCTGGTAATTCAGGCAAAGTTCCTAAAAGTAGTAATTATCAATTCTCACTTTTTTCATATTGAACTTTATAAATCTCAGCCCAAATATTTTCATGAGTACTGTCTTTTTACTTCTATTCATAATACTTTTATGTGGCAGATATTTTTACAAGACAAAACATTTAAATTTTCTCTATGAGTCTTTTGAATGTTTTCCTATATGTAGAGGCTGCAAAATCATAGGCCATCTCAATTTTAGTTCATTTTCATACAGAATATACATTTATCTCATTAAATATAAGAACTTTGTCAAAACATGAATAACTCAAAATCAAGTTATTTTGAAGATCAACAATAAAATATTAAAAGTAAACCACTGCGTTAGTTTCCTATTGCTGCTATAATAAATTGGCACAAACTTATTGGCTTAAAATAACACAATTTATTCTCTTATAGTTTTGGAGGTCAGATGTTCAATGCCAGTTTTATGAGGCTACAGTCAAGAAGTTGGCGAGGCTGCATTCCATCTAGTGCAGCGGTTCTGAACCTGCGCGTCATGACCCCTTTGGGGTCGAAGACCCTTTCACAGGGGTCGCCAGGTACTCGTATGTGGGCGTATCTGCATGTGGGCCTGGAGACGGATAGAGGAGCGGTGTCTCGGTTCCTAAGACCATAGAAAATATGTGTTTTCCGATGGTCTTAGGCGACCCCTGGGAAAGGTTGAGAACCGCTGGTCTAGAGTCTCAGGAGGAGAAAATCCATTCCTTGCCTTTTCCAGCTTCTTGAGGCCGTCCTCATTGCCTGCTGTGTGCGAGAGTTCTCATAGACGTGGTCAGTACAGCCACAGGTGAGCCACACCCAAGGACACCACCTAAAGCGGGGTCGTATGCAGATTTGTCAGCAAAATACATGATTGTTATTATTTTAAACTTCTAAATTTTGGGGTGGTTAACCAAATAGGATGACTTCAAATTTCTAAAATCAAGTAATTGGTTCTCTTATCTCACTTCTATAGATGATGTTTTTTGGCAACTTGGTATGGTAACGGGAAGGACAAGGGTTGTCATTTGACAGAATATGGTTGGAATGTGTGATCATCCTCCACTAGAGGATGCACTGTAGCATCTGAGGGCAGAGTTCCTCTTGCTCAGCCTTGTGAAACCTGAGCTCAAGGACTTGGCATTTCACCCTCAAAGCCTCTGAAGGGTTGATGCTGAGATGGACCCAGAGACCATTAATTCAAGGCATCAGAGCAGTGCCTCACATCTCTGTTACACATTTGACTCACCTGGGGGATGTTAAAAAGAGCTGATTCCTGTGTACTGCTCTCATACTCCAAATGTTCTGATGACATTGGTTTTGCATGGCTTTGGGGTATTACTATTTTAAAAAAGTTTTGCAGGTGATTATAATGTTCACCCATGTGTGCAAGTCTCTAGATCAGATGGACAGCAGCATCCAAAATTCAATGCTTAAAGAGAGGATTCTTAAATGAAGAAATAAGGGCTTATTGACGAGGGTAAAAGCAAAGTGTCAATGGAGGTTTTGCAGAGCTATGGAACCCACTGCACAGGCAGCACAGCAGGGCCTCATGTGCGCTTACGTGGTTCAAGTTGTTTTTCATAAGGGGTAGTCATTGGGACAACTTCCCAAAACTCAGTTATCCTCTTGTTCTGGACTCATAAAGATTGAGTTTTTTGGACCTGTCATGCTTCAGTGGGACCATGAGACTAACACTGGCCATTGAGATGAGGACTGGGATGTTATTGCAGGTTCAAGGTCCTCCAGAATGTTCTTTCTCTCTGGCATAGAAACAAACACCATTTAGAGTGTGGCTGTGCCAGCATTAACGTCGACCGCTGAGAGATTATGCGGGATAGAACACTGCTGCCAATCCCTGATGAACAGATTGTGTGAGGGAGAAAGAAATCTTTTTTTTTTGCTTTGGGCCACTAAGATGTTGAATTGTTTGTTCCTGCAGCATAACCCATCGTCTCCTGACTAACACAGGGTCTGAGCAAGACGGCTGTCCATCTTTCTGCATGGGGTTAGGAAGCAAAATTCCTACTCTTCTGGAGTAAATTTTGCCCAGGGCTCCTTTAGGGGAAACAAGAAGACAAAAAAGTATACAGAATTTTCAGCTTATGTTTCATGAATTAAAGCAACATGATTTGACTTCAAGTCAGAGAACTAAATATTTAATTTTATTTAGAAACCAGTATTTGGAAAGTTGGCAGCTTTCACCTAAGGGTAAATTGGATATAATGCCAAGTTCACACTCATGGAATTAATTGACTGTTCTACTTTCAACATAAGGTATCAAAGCCTTCCACATTAGTGACCCATGTAAAACAAACCTTACCACATGGGCTGTGGTTTTCGAGAAGGCTTCTATTAAATGAACTACTCAATATAAATTTACCCTGGGGTGGTGTGTGTAGATGGAAAATCATACACGTACTTAGAATAGCCCTTTTTTTGGTATTTTTTTCTAATTTTATACCCAAAGGCTTAAAAAAAAAAACTTTTTGGTATTCAGAAGTTAACATTAGTGACAGAATTTACTTTTAATCACTTCTTCCTAGAACTGGAGCATAGGAGAAACTAGTTCTTTTAAAAATAGTCTAAGTGTAGAAACCATATTGTTTGTGCATTTTGATCCATTTATTGAACTGTGGATGGTCCTCTTCATGTAAATTGTTAAGATCACCTTCTGCCTGCTTCCTGTAAGCCTTCGTTTCCTTTCTTAGGGACCATAAAGCTTTATCTTGTGTCATTTCCTGTCCGGTTCTTTCCTGGGGTTGTCTCCTTTCTGGGCTGTCTTTGGGAAAGCGTCATATTCCTAAAAGCAATGCACAGCTGTGGCAGAATAGTTTGTGGTATTAACTTCTGTATTTTTCACCTAGTATTTCCTCCCCTCTGCCCGCTCCTTACATTCAAAGATTAGGGCCATAGACAGGGCTGAGGGCAAGAAAGACCATGGTCTCTGACATTTAGTGGTTGGGTTGTATAAACAAGAACGGCACGGTATTTAGACAAAATGTTTGAACGGAGGCAGGAAGGAACGTGGAGCTTCCCTTAAACTTACAAAATACAAAAGATGCTCCTGATTAGAGGGAAGAAGAAAGGAAAGGGTGTTTTAAAATAGTAGTGAATTAATAGGAAATTTGCGGTATATTAAGGCCAACAGATGAGGACACCACTGCCACTGAAAAGTTAGATTGTTACTCCTCACAGTTCTCATTAGGAAGGAGCACACCACACCATGAGGGGCCACGTGGGGAAGCACCAGGCTTGGTGGAGACAGAGGGAATGGGGGGGGGGAAATGGGTGAGAAACTTTATTGTGGTTTCTGCAGGAAAGAATGAGTAAAGCAGGGCAATCAGGCTTAGCACCGGCTGGTTTGATTAATTTTGGGGGGCTCTGGGGCATGAGGGCTATCCCTAGTTGTCTGTACCTGGCCCTCGGGTGGCTAGGGTAGGTGGATAGTGGCCTGTAGCGTGAGAGTCTGATAGAGGAGGTGGTTGGGGCATGGGCTCTGGATTGATTGGTTTGTATCTGAAGAGCACATTTGCAGGTGAGTTGTTTACTATCTCTAGGTATTGGCTCACCCTAGAAAGCAAAGTCCCTACAAGGTCAGCCAGGGCCCAGGCATCAAAGGATCAGAATAAGAGAATAAAAGACATTGCTACAAGGAAGAGTTTTCTCCCTAATTCCTGACATCAGTAAGATCCAAGACAGGCAGGTAGGGCCCCTGGACAGAAAGGGCTATCTTAGTTACATGCTGCTGTGTGACAAATTACCCCAGAATGTATTACCTTAAACCAACAGATTTATTATCTCACAGTTTCTGTGGGTCAGGATCTAAATTCCCCTAAACTGGTTCCTCTGCAGCGCCTCTGACAAGATTTCAGTCATCTCAAGTCTTGACCAGGGCATGATTTGCTTCCAAGCTCACTCACGTGATTGCTAGAAGGATTTGGTGCCCTGTGGGCTGTTGGACCAAGGGCCTCCGGTCTTTACTGGTTGTTCCTTGCCACACGGGCCTTTCTGTAGGGAAGTTTACAATGTGGCTGCTTGCTTTCATCAGCAATGAAGCAAGACAGCAAGGGAGGGTGAACAAGATGGAAGTCAGTGTCTTTCTGTAACCTAATTTCGGAAGTGACAGCCCCTCACTTTTGCTGTATTCTGTCAATTAGGAGCATGTCACTAGGTCCATTCCTCAGTTGAG